TGAGCACCCTGACCCCAGGAGCCCCAACCAGATGAGTGCCACAGAGGGCACAGCAGGGCATAGGGGGATGATGGAAATAAGCACAGTGTGATCCAGCCTACACCAGAGCTGTGCAAAGCCAGGATGCTGGCACAGAGTCAGTGATCGTAATCGGAACAGGGACAAAAATCCTTGTTGAGATCTCAGTGTATGAAGCAAGCGAAGCAGATGGCAAACAGATTCAGAAATCATCACCAAGCTCTAAGGAGATAGCTTGCCGCTTTCCACCCCACCAGAGGAATGCCAAGGTTAATTCCTTGTTTTCTTGGGAGATCTTTTCAGTAAAGAAACAGCTTGATTTTCCTTTCTGTTTTAAAGGTGGCGGCAACTCCACTGTTCTGGTAAGCAGCCAGTTCAGCCTCGTGCTGTCCATCGGGACACTGCTCCGGCTCTGACACTGATGGCCTCTACCAAACCACACACAGTGACTTCTTTGTCAGAGTCTGTTTGTCAGTGTGTTACCTCCCAGCTCCCTTCCTGTCACATTTACTGCTTCACACCATCACGAGAGTTTGGCATGGGCAGGGTCGGGACAAATAACACAGATATACAATGATAGCAATGACCAAAAGGTTTCAGCCTGTAGGAAAGCCTATCCCTGAAGGCTCAGTGCAGAAGCTGCTCACTCATTCCTGCCTTTTGATCCCAGCCTCAACACAGCACTTGTGTTCCTGTTCCTTGTAAAAGATCACTGTATACCAAGCAGGTTGACAGAGGGTGTTTTCCCACCCAAGACTGGATGGGAGAAATAGACCAAGCAGAGAAAAGATGCACAATCTGGCCTGTCTGCATCAATACCCACTAATTGCAAGGAAAAATTCTTCTAAAAACCATGTGTTGTTTTTTTTCCTCCCAACATCATTTCTGCTTTGCTCATCAGGATGAGCCTCTTTTTTTTTTTTTTTAATGAAAAATTGTAAGTGGCACTATTGCTATTTTTATACTTTTCAAAGACCAGTTTTGAATGTCAGTGTTTTCAGGTCCCTTTAGTTGGGTAATTGCACATGGACTTCATATAAAGGAAATTCATTTGTTCAGGGTCACTGCATGGTTTTTCATTAAAAACAAATTACCGGTGCTCAGAAAGGACATCTGGGTTTCAGGAGTCCCATTAATGACTGTATTTTCAGCATCGCTATTCTGGATGCTGTACCCTTTCCTGTCAGCCCGTGCTCCAGGCCCCTGGAGGACGGTGTGAATGACAGCCCTGGGGAAGGCAGGGCACGAGAGAGGGCTCCTCCCAAAGACAAGGAGAGAGGAAAGAGTGGAGAAGACACAGAGGGTAACGGGGCTGTTATCTGAGCATCTCTGAAACCAGGGCCAGAAGAGCTTTTAACATGGGCAAGCTTGAGCTGCTGAGCACAGAGCAGCCAGGCACAGGGTGCAGGCAGACAGGAGGTCCGAGTGGGTCCAGAAGCTGCACCCCGGGGTGCTGCAGGAGGGCACAAGAGTCAAGGGTGGGAGAAGGGTGGAGGGCTGTTTCTGCAGGTCCTCATGGAGCCATCAGTCTCTGTCCCTGTGACAAGGCAGCTGCCAGAAGGCTCCATCGAGATCCTGAAGGTGATCCACACCTCTGTTGTTTAACAGCAGCTCTGATCCAGAGCAGAGCTCTCACTCCTGTGTATCTGTGAGGACTGCTGGCACCACTGGTTCTCAGACAGCCACCTCCTGGTACATTATGCCAGAAAGAAGCTCAACGATTCTGTGGTGTGTTTTCAGCAGAGCTGTGACCAAAACACACCGTCACATAATGATGGGGTAATCAAAACTGCAAAACTGCAGCAGGTCTCCTGGCCCTGCACACAACACGGTGACCAGAGAGCCAGATCAGGGTGCTCAGGGCTGGAAAACCCACAAAGACAGAGACAGGTCAGCTTCTCCAGGCATCTGAAGACCTCCAGATGAGTGGAAGTTTGAAGCCTTCCCATGTATCCTATCTTTGTCTGTTTCCATCAACGTGTACTGCCTTCCCTTGTGCCCCCTGTGAATGGATAAAGGTATTACAGAGGATGGATCCCTGGATGCATGTCACAGTGCTGTGCTTGTATCCAGCATGCAGGCAGAGCTTGGCACCAACCACCGCTCTCCAAGCTCAAGCATCCCACCAGTTGTCTTCCCATCTAGCTGTCCACCAGCAGCTCCACGCCATAGCATGCAACAGGGCCTGGAGCAGCCATGCAGCAGGTGAAGAGGGGAGATGCTCCTGCTGATGGAGAGTCAGGACAGGCTGACGGTGGGGAGCCTTTCTTGTTCAGGTGGAGAGCAAGGACACGGGAAGAACAGTAAGAAGAGCACAAGGAGCTGAATCCATGCGTGCTTGGTGTGAAAACACCAAGGGGCTCAGACATTTCCCTCACATTTCACACACGCCGTGTGAGACGGACACCGCAGACACGAGGCAAGTCACCAGCAGTGCAGTGAGGAACCAGTGAACTCGCTGCAGCACAAGCAACGTCTGCAGGAGGCAGAACAGAACCCTTCACATCTCACCGCGGATCTGCTGCTCCCACACCTCTCACTACTTGGCTCTCACAAATTATGAGCAGAAAGTCGTGGCTTACAATTAAAAAGCTGATCGGGGAAGCATATTTCTAGCAGGTGCTCTGAAGACTATGACAAGGAAGCAGCAGGTCACAAAGTGAATCCCTATGAAAAGGTAAAACGGGTGCACACAGGCATGGTCTGTTTCAGAACAACCACGGATGTTCTGTGGCCCCAGCCCTGATCTGACAGCTGCCTTTGGGTCAGCCCTCAGCCTGCCATGCTCTCCCCAGCCAGGCTCTGAGACTGGCCCTGCAAATGACAGGAGGCAAAGAAGAATTGGGAAGACGTTTGGGATGCTAGTTAGCAAATTCTCACTTAAATGAGAAAGCAAACCTGAAGAAATTGCAGCTGACCTTCACACTAGCTGGAGCAGAAGGTTGTTATTAAAGGAACCAGTGAGAGGAACCGTGCAGTTATTCAATGTAACGGGTCACAGAGGCCTATGTGTAGTTAAAAATAAAATCTATTACCCAGGAAAACTGGCTCAGATGACTGTACATCACCGAACCCCCTCTGGATTTCCTTGTGCTGAGCTCTGCCATGACCATCACTCTCAGTTCTGTGTCCTGCTCCAGCAGGTGTGCCCAGATATCTGGCAGCCATGGACACGTCCATTCCCCAGCATCCACCAAAAAGAAAAGGAAGAGTAAAGCCGCTGGGAGGTGACAGAGACACAGAGCTGCATATTGGGTATAAGGAGGACCAGAAGTAGGCAACAGATTCCCACAGGGTTTCTAAAAGCCTCCAAATCACTGCCTTCAGGTGCACACAAGCTGCCTGGAGCTTCCCACGGGTAAGTTGACTCTGCAGATGCCAGATAAGGGCAATCTCCTGCACGCCTTCCTTGTCCCCAGGTTTACCCTCAGTGGCCTCAAGAAAAGCAGGGGCTCAGGGCTCTGGTGAAGAGCCAGCACAGGAGAGCCCAGGCAAGAGCTGAGGGGACTGGCAGGATGGGACACCTGACATTGCTGGCCCCTGCTTCCCACTCACTGTGCTACATCTCTAAGCTGTGTATGTAACAGCAGGTTCATGCACAGCACCCTCATTTGCCCATACATCTCCTGTGGCCTGCCTGACACACGTCTGATTCACTGACCCTGGTGTTCCAAATGCTCAAAGTGTAACAGTCATGTTAAAAAGTTAATGGAAGTGCAGACCTTCAGCTGATCTAAGCAGCTGGCAATGCCTCTGACGTAAGAGCAGCCTCAATGAGGATGGAAAAGCTTACCAGTAACTCTGTGTGTCCTTGAGAAATAGCATGCAGCAAGGAGTCAAACCTTTCAGATCTGCATTCGGATCTTCACATCTTACCTTTACAAGAAATGAAGAACTACCCAAAAATTATATTTGATGGGTAAAAATTATTTCAACTTTGCCTCTGATCTAGCTTCCATAACCAGCACAAGTAAAATGGCTGTTTCTTTTTCTTAATTTCTCAGTGATCTCAATGAACACATTTTACAGATTATAATCAGTTTGGGCAAAAAATACTAATCCCAAAATAGCCAGGACAATAAATAACTGTCATTGACTACTGCTTGCTTTCTGAGAGTGTTGTTTTCAAATCACCACCTCCTGGAGCCATGTGACTGCATATGAAATTCCACTTTGGGAGGTTTTCTTCAATAACTGTCTGACCTTGCTGACTCCAAAGTGACTATCTCAGAGGACCTTAAAGGCTTGGAAAGCAACAGGCAGGGGAAAGAAGGAGAATCTCCGAGTAACCATTCATTTTCAAACCATGTGATACTGAGACAGGGGAGGTTTAGGTTGGATATGAGGAGGAAGTTTTTCAGCCAGAGGGTGGTGAGGCACTGGAACAGGTTGCCCAAGGAGGCTGTGGATGCCCCATCCCTGCAGGCATCCAAGGCCAGGCTGGCTGTGGCTCTGGGCAGCCTGGGCTGCTGGTTGGTGACTTGCACATAGCAGGGGGTTGGGACTGGATGAGCACTGTGCTCTTTTGCAACCCAGGCCATTCTATGATTAGAGCCCAGATTCATGAATTTTAACGTGTAAGTTCAGGGCTTGGAATACTTCTTTCCCTTGTAGACAGCAATGTCTGTCATGCTCAGATCAAAGACAGCAGAGCCTGGGGATAAATCCTGTTGTTTCCTTCAGGCTGAAAGGAGGACACTGATTTCCAGCAGCACTGGGCCCCCTGTGCTCAGACAAGCCCATGCAGACTCCCTAGCACCAGGCATTCACCGGCTGCTTGCTGCCAGCACCCCAATGTCACCATGCTGCACAGACCTGCGTGCACATGCTCAGCCAGTACCAAGTGAGCACTGCACTGACTATGTGACACACACACAAGCCAAGCTCTGCCAGACCGGGAACCTGAGCTCTCAGCTCCCACCAACACCACGCTGTCCCCTGCAGTGCCGCCTTTCCACCCCCCCTTCATTTTGCAGACTCACCAGGCACCATTCCTGTCAGCGCAGGGGCAGAATAGCTGCCCTGTCCAGCAGGGGGGACGTGCGGAGGGTATCCTGGGAGGGTTGTGCTTGCCAGCTCTCGACCTGAGGAATCAAACCAACAAATCACCACGTGAGCATCACTGCTGGCAGACGTGCTTCTACGCCTTCCTGCAAAGACAGCCACCTGTCTGTCACAACAGCTCCGCAACTCTCAGCAAGGAGCTGGTAGGAGAGAGGAGAAACAGTTCTGCTTACTCTATCAGCTGCCATCATGCTGTGGCAGAGCAAGGGCTTGAAAGGGGAAGAGCAGATCCCTGCAAGGAGAAGCAGCCCTGTTTTGAACTCCAGCTGCTCTCCTTTTTATTCCCAAGTTTCTCCAAAGTTCAGCTTTGTAAAGTCGAAGTTTGTAAAATCATGCTGATTCTAACAGCACTTCCCCAGGAAACTCTCCAGAAAATTACACTGTATGAGCTGATGGATTTGCAGAGATCTAAACGTGATAAGGGCATTATTTCCATCTTCCGTTAAAGTCACTTAGGGAAACACAAACACACACACACACATTGAGACATGAAGTAATTTCCAAAACGCAGCTGTCAGGGGCAGTGACGTTCACAGCCTGATGCAGCACTCCTCGCTAGGGAAACCTCCTTTCATTAGGGTCTGCACAGGTCTCCCACACAAACTACACTGCAGAAAGCAGGCTGTGGGCCGCCCCCCGTCTCACCATACCATCACTCATCCAGACTGCTGAGTGCCCTCGCTTCTAAGCCAGCTCCAGGCAAAGCTGCACACAGCCCTTGGGCCCACGGCTGTGGATATTTCACCAAAGGCATGGAGGAAGCAATGGCCGCACCCTGCCAAGACAGCATCTCCCACAGTGCAGATCATCTCCAGGCAGGGGAGGAAAAAGGGACCCTGTTCTGTGTGCCACCTGCAGCAGGGGTTTGTCCCCTGTCCCCTGGCTCAAATGTCACCTGGATGCTACTGAGCCTAAAGCATGGAGGAGATCATTCAGGCCGCAGCTTGCTTCAGTTTCACAGGCTGCCCATAGAGGCTGTGGAGTCTCCTTTTCTGGAGACCTTCAAGACCCACCAGCAACCACTGCTACACTGCTGGCTGCAGACACCACCAGCTTTTTTTTTTTTTTTTCATCAAATAGAAAGTGAGACTGAAGGGAAAGAGCAGCATAATGTGCTTGGCCTTAACCAGGTCACTGATTAGCTGACAAACACTTGGCTACATTCTGCAGATAACTAACTGCTTCTGATCCTCTCAGCAAGGGTGATAGTCCTGAAGGCCATGAAATTACTCCATCCGCATTATCTCTGAGGATGAATATTCAGAGCACTTTGGGGTGCACCTCCTCACTGGGCTCCTTCATGCTACTGGGGAGTGCCCTGAAGTCTATCTGCAACATGGACTCCAACCCATCATATGCCCTGGGATTCATTCGCCCACCCAGACCTTTAATTTAACCATGCTGTTTGAGTAGGTGACAACTCAACCCACAGTATGGGGGTTGGAACTCCATGTTCTTTAAGGTCCTTTCCAACCCAAGCCATTCTATAATTCTGTGACTCCATGATTCCCAGGTCCCAAGCAAGCTCTTACTCATCCACGTATGATTTTTGCCTTTGTCTCAGGCACTTAGGGCAAGGCAAGGCAAGGGAAGCACTACACCTTCACTTTTAGCAGCACTCTGGGCACCACAGGTGATGTGCAAAACAAGGTTTGGAAAGGCTCTGAACCTTCATCCTGAGTTAACATATTCTGGAAGTTGACGGGAGGACACAACTGAGAGGATGGGATGCTTTCATGTGAGCGTGGATGGCACTGGTGTCAAACAGCACACCACTTTCCTACAGTATCCTGTTTCCACAAACCAGACAGCAAAGTGTCATCACCCACCAGAACTGCAGTTAAACCAGGGACCAGTTCAAAGAATGTTAATTGGCATAGGATAAAATCAGTAGTGAACCCAGAAGTAATGTTTGAACAGAAAAGCATGAATACAGGATTATCTGCACTCCGCAGCCCTTGTCAGAGAACAGTACCATACAAAGAACCACTCTCTGAAAATGCAAAGATGCAGGCTAGAAGAGGACCACGTCTGGAGGTGATCCTGGCAAAAATTCACCACTTCCTTATAGCAGGCTGTCACAAAGTCTGATGGATTAAAGTGCTGCAGCACGCCAAGTAATGTGACATTTAGAAGACGTTTCCCAACAAAGTATCTTGCAACAAGGAGCACGCTGGTCTAATCCAGTCAGTAAACGTGTCCATCTTGAGCTTGCTACAGGGATGAAACGCTGCACATCATTTTGAGGCTTATTCCTGCTGGAATTCATTCTACATTCCTCCAGAAAGTAAAATATAATGATGCTAAATAACAACAATATCAACTGGCGCAGTGGGACCATGGGCTGCAGATGTGTGTCAGAGTGCTTGGCCCTGCACTCAGCAGATACGCAATGAATGCCCGTCCTTCCATTCACCGCGAGCTGACAGCGTGCTGGCACTGAGAGCAAATTATCATTTCCCAGAAAAAAAAGTGCAAATAAGTAATTTTCTTCCATAAAAGAAATTATTTTGCAACCAGCAGCGGGAAAGGTCAGCAGCACCTTCCCCAAGCAGGCATGGCCAGCAGCACTCGGACATGGGCAGGTCTGCACCCCTGCACAAGATAACGGCCTGGCAGCAAGCAGCAGAAAATGCCTCCCCCATCCCCAAACCACAGTGGGAGGAAGAACGAGGGAAGGGTTCAGAAACATTCTTCATTTTACTTACCTTCTGTTAAAGAAAAGAGGTGAAGAGCATTTCCAACTGTGTCTTTGTACACTGCTGTGTGTAAATGTGAGTCCAATTAACTTCACACTTAACTACTAATGAAATTATCTCATTTTGCTATCAGCTCAAGTCTCATCCATGGCAGTAATTAACCACTGGGGGTTGTCACTCCTAGACACATGACACGAGGACTTCCCCAAGCTCAGGTACTTCAAACCCTTGCAGAATTCATTACCCTGACAGTGTGAAAACCCTTCACTTTCAATACCACAGGGCACCAACATGTTTTGTTTTGTTTTTTTCCCCTTTATCTAACTGATTGCCAGTAACAGTATGAAAGAAATGAATGCACTGGAGAGGTAATTAATTACTGCAAAGGACACATTAGAAAATGCAGAGGGTTCAGGTGTTGGGGGTTAGCTCAGGAGCCCTTTTGCCAATGCAATAGAACAGACTCTCTGCAATAGAGGACTTGTAATGGTTCTCCCCGAGAAGACCCACGAATTGTCCATGTGTCATCTCCCAGCCACTTTCTCATGTTTCCAGCAGACCGAGGTTGCCATCAGCTTAAGAACACAAAGACAGGGCAGTGCACTGGGTTCACGGTGTGGTCCCAGTTCTCCAGATACAGGTTCGAGCAGAGAATAGATAACCTGTACAGTAAAAACCAGCTTTCCCATTTTGGTGAATCCCTCACACACGCTTGCTTGTGCCACAGACCTGCTCACCCAGGAAGGTCTCTGAAATGGGCACCTGAGGCAGTGCACAGCTCACATCCTGCCCAGCACGGTGCTGCTTTTCCATGGAATCCAGAAGCAGGGAGGGTCCCAGGCAGGTAGGACACAGAGCAGGGAGCACAGAAACCCAACTCATTACCAAAACTGACTTTTCTCTGGGAAATCTCATTCCCACAAGAGGTTTTCATACAACAAGTTCTTTCTTTGGCAACTGCAGATTTTGATACTACCACCTTTGTTGTTCCAGTCATTACTGTAAGGAAAACATTTTGACTGACCTCTCAACCCTGTCAGCAGGAAGAAGATCTCAAGAGACTCAGAGAACCAGAAGTGTTTCTGTTGGAACAGACCTTAAGGACTGCTGGCCCCAACCCGCTGGGATGCATGTCACACTGGCAATAGTGGCATCAGGAGCAGAGCAGCACCTCAACTGGAGATGAGATCCTCATGAAAAAAGAATCCAGCATGATTGCATACAGCGTACTGCCCCTCTGCTGTTACCATCTCCCAGCCTGCTGACAGCCATAAGAAAGGAGGAAGGAATTAATCCACTCTTGTCTTTTCCCACAGGTGCAATGAAATTATAAAACCCAGCTGTCCTCAGCGATTATTAAGGACTCGGTGTACCTGTCACCTACACAGCTGACTTCCAAAGTCTGGAGGAGACTAAAGCTGGAGCAGCAGCCTTGGACCTTCCTCCCCATCCCATGTCCCCATCCTCTGCCTTGCGGTCGCCTCCACCATGCTGAATGCAGAGCAGGCCTGCTCCATCCAGAAATACCAAGAGCCTGCACCATCCTTTGCCCCATCCTAAATGTACTTCAGATTTTGCACCCCAGCAGTGCCCACGGTCTGGATTATCCAGATTCCTGGTTACTCCAGGAAAGGATATGGCCCCCGGCACAAGACCTGGGCAAGCTGGAACACAGCTGTTAATGAATAACTTCCCTCCTGTGTTCATCGAGCTTTATTTGCAGACATCAAAACCACTGCAGCATGCTTACTGCTATGAGTTACCACTCTTGCACCTAATTAGAGGCAGATAAAACAGTGGTAACACACAGATCACCTGTAATGATTTTGCTGACTCGATTATTCTTCTGACAATTATCTCTGGCTGCCAAAACCTCACAGGAATGTCAAAGTCTACTTCCTACAAAGCAGGTAATGTCACAGGTGTGACCATGAAATCAATAATGAGGCATAGCTCTTGCAGAGGGCATCCAGGTCAGATGGAACAGCCCTTAAATTAAACATTGATAAGCAGAACACAATTATCCATCATGTTTAAGTGCCTGTGTGAAATTAGCAGCCAGGGAAAGGGAGCAGTGGGCAAAAGATTAGTGGAGGAGGTGTTGAAATCACACTGTCCACTGTGACTGCAAGGCTTTGTGATAGCACTACTGTAATCTGCTATCAAAGCCATAAAAATCAAATTAAGCACACTGCTCTGAAGCAGGGGTTCTGGGTTTATTTTATTTCTCACCTGCAAGGAAGCCACAGATGTCTGTCTATTGGAGTTCAGAGTTACCTTTCATAGCAGGTATCTCTGCTGCTCTGTCACAGACCTTGATG